AACAGTTTCAATATGAAAAATAACTTTTATATTGATTCAATGGGGGAAAAAATTTTAAAAAAAAAAAAAAAAAAAAAAAAACGTCAATGAAACGGAGGCACGATTAACGGGAGCTGCCAAAAAAACGTTATTCATAAGTGACCTACATATTATGGATTTATGAATCAATGCATTCATAATAGCATTTTAATCGTATTTGAAATTAGACGATTGTTCACCTTTAGGGCCTCCAGGCGGTATGTTTGGCTTGATTCTGCCTCCATCATCACATTCACAGCCTTTATAAGCTCATCGCACAACGCACGTATCGGTTCGGCCATGGCTTTTAAACACGTCCAGCAGATGGAATGTAAAACACCGGTAGATCTGTAAAATGTACTGCACACTCCACTACTAGCTCAGCATACACAGACGAGCATTAAACAAAACGTGGTAGGTGTCTGCTGTCTGTGGACCGCCTTAATCAAGATGGCGGAAGTTACGTGACCTGTGGGGATTGTAGTTTATATATATATTTTTTAAAATGTCGTTAACATAGCCTTTTCTAAATAGCAACTGCGTACCAATTCGCCTATATTCCCTAAAAGTATGTAATATTTTTGTGACTAAAAGTATATACCTTTGAGTTCATACTTTGTAGCAAAGAGTAGGCGAAATTTGGGACTTACTATATAATATATATAGTACCAGTGTGCTCTGTGCCATCACTGCAAACCAGTCTGTCATTCATCCTGTCACAAACATCCTCATCATATATACGTTCCACAATAAATTAAATTAAATTAATACTTCCCAAGAAATTGTTTTAAATTAAATACACAGATAACATTAATTAAATATTTGTTCATCACTAGGTTACCCAGACAGCAACATAGTGTTGGCCCAGATCCGGGCCACATCTGGCCCGTGTGAAATCCATGCGGCACGCGACACTTGTTGCTGTCTGGGTTAGACATTGATTAAGAAGTCCTCTCAGGGCATCTACCTAACTGTCGGGCTTGCATGTTTGTAGCTCTAAACCAAATCCTCTTCCAAAGCACTTGTAGGTTATACCAGCCGTTAGACTAATAAAACCTGATGGTGAAATTTTTATAATTTAATGGGTATTTTAGCAATTAAGAAAAGGCACTGTAATAAGAAATCAATACCTCCAATCTTCCTAAAAACAACATTATTAAATATGTTTCAGTCCACCTGTTTTTTAAAATGATTATTTTTTTTAAATTTACTATTAACACTTGGTTAAATAGGATAAAGTAAACAAAACCAAGACCTCCATTTATCTTATTTCTTAGAACCTCCTTTTTAATTTTGTGTGGTTTATTTTTCCACATGAAATTATATAGCCTAATAATTTATCTTGTAAGAAATATGATGATTTATGGCAATACAAGAAACTCTTACCTTCTGCTTTTGATAATAAAACTCAACCAGGGAGAAACATCTCCTGCTAGCCAAAAATGGAACTACTTTTTAATTATGTCTTTACCCTTCATAAACCCTGATTGGCACTAATCAATTAAACCACCAAAGCCAGGTTTAAGTCGTTTTGCCAGGACAGATTCCAAATTTTATAGTCTTTTATAGTCTTTTATAGTCACGTTACTTAGTAATGTGATTGGGCACTAGTTATTAATCAAAAGAGTATCTTTTTGAGATTTTTACCTGTTGTGCTACCTGCTCATGCTACCTCCCATTAAAACAGTAATTGAAACAATGTTAAGTCAATGTTGATGCGCCAATGCTAACTGCATTGAATTAATGTTACAAAGTGATGTTGGTTCCATATCACTTTTGCACCTGCAATTAATGTGTTGAAACAAAGTTTAGATTGATCAGAGTCACCGCTCACGTCCATATTGAAAAATTCCAAGTTTTGTGTAGAAATGACCATACGCCCAATTTTCTGGTGTATGTTCATTTCGTAAATGAGGCCCACTGTGAGCACACTGGTCAAATATGGGCATATGTGGGCACACTGGGGCACAGTATCTGGTCCAAAAGTATACCCCATGAGCATGCTCTGTGGGTCCATAACAAATAAGAAAGTTAGTTTAGTCTTGCTAAGTAGTGTCCCAGCTGAAAATGTGTACCTAGCGCCCCATAGACCCCAGATTATGCCCACACTTCCCTCAAAACAAATAAATCTGTGTAGGGCCATTGTGTCCTTAACAAATACCTAATAACATTAGTTTGCTTTTACTTTGTACTTGCAGAATACCACAATATTACTATTAATGCATGCAGAATAATTGCATGTGATGAAAGTAGAAGTAATACATTAAGAGTCATAAATTACTAAATTAAATTAAATACTGATTTTTTTTCACAGCCACGTAGAAAATTAAGAAAATATACACTACCTTTCTAAAGTTTAAGGTCGATAGGATTTTTACGAAAATTACACCGATTTCATTAAAAATACACGTAAAACTGTAACATAATGAAATATTACAATTTAAAATAATTGTTTCCTATTTTAATATATTTTTTAAAAATCCTATTATGTTAAAGCTGAATTTTCAGCAGCCATTAATCCATTAAAATTTATACTACGGGGCCATTGAATGCTTGATTCTGATTGGCTGACGAACGTTCTAAGGTGTGCAATTATTTTCAGGGAATGAATATACTTCAGAGATATTTTACTCATACAAATTTCTAGGGGTGCCAATAACTGTGGCCAACATGCATTGGAGAAAAACATTTATTTCATAATGTGAGTTTCCCCCACTTTCAATTGTTTTACTTCAACGAAAGTTTAGAATTTTGTGAATTTTTTGAATGAAAGTTCAAAAAGATAAATGATGGAAAAATGGGGGCAAAAACAAAAGTGTTGCGTTTATAATTTTGTTCAGTGTATTTACCAAGGGTGCCAATATTAGTGGGTGGCACTGTATGTATGGAAAGCACATACCCTATCTCTCCCACCTCGCTTTTCGGACCGATGAGCTTTGTAAAAATGTATGCGTTTCAGAAAGGCGGGGCATAGAGGAGAAACAATAATGTACAGTATGTGGAAAATAATGTGTTTTTTTAACCTTAAACCGCATAAACACATTTCATTACACCAAATACACCAAATAATGTTATTTTTAGCAACATCATATGACCCCTTTAAATGAACCCATTTTCTCCATATTAGAATGTTTCCGCCTAGCGTTTGTGGCTCTGTGATTGGTGGTCCAGCTGTGAAATGACAGAGGGCCAAGCAATAGTAAATCAATGGGAACGTAATTTTAAATGACAGAAAAACTGACCAATCATATCTTTCCTCTAAATGGGCGGGCCTTGTTATCACTAACTTTATGACAAGTTCTGTCCGTTGTGGGATCTCTATCGAAAAAAAATATATATATATATATATACGCTGATAAACTAACTAGCTATTATTCACGTCACAATGGAAGCCACAAATAACGTAAGTGAGGACATTTACTGGGCCGCTGTGCCAATAATAATATTATTTAATATAAACACTGCTTGTTTGTAATGAAGTGTCTGTCGCTAAGTTTTTTTTGCTGTGAGCGCTGTCATGATGTTTTGGCTTACATTAAACATTACATTTGTTGGTTTTGTGCACAGACCAACTATGTGATGGTGCATGTGTAATGAGGATTTTCATTTGACTTAAATTTAGCTATGGTTTATTTTGGTGATATCAGTCACTCTCGCTGCACTGTTTTCTTGTTGCATTCAAAGCCACTAGAAGGCAAGCCTGCAACCATTAGCGGTGACAATTCACATACAAATTGACAATAAAAGCAAAAATGTCAATAAATTCAAAAAGACAATGATTGTAAAAAAAATAATGCAAATTAAGGAAAGAAGAATAAAAAACAAAACAAAAAAGAACTATATACATAGGGGTATTGAGAACAAATCCATATCTCTAACTACAAAATAAGTGCAAAGGTCCTTTAAAAGGATCAAGTTTCAAGGCTTTACAACAATCTAGTCTTTTTTGCTTTAGAGTTCCTTACACCTTCCATCACTTTAAGATACTGACAGAGCTCAAATTTAAATAGTAAAAAACTAGGTGTTCTCTTCAACCATCGACATTTATGAATGTGATATTTCCCTAATATAATAAACAAATTAAGAACAAAATAACATTTCTTCTCTAAAGGCTTATCATAATAAAATAAAATATTCTAATCTTCTAAAGTAATGTCAATTCCCGAAATCTCTTCAAAGAAGATCTTAAAATCACACCAGAATAACTTAGTACAAATACAATAAAAAAAAGATGGTATATACTTTCATCATTCAAATTACAAAACACACATTTCAAATCAATATACTTCTTAAATCTTTTAATAACCTCATTTACTGCATAAATATAATGAACAATTTTAAATGAAACCTTGCGAATCTTATTAATGACAGTATCTCCTGGAGATCATAAAAGCCTCCTCCCAGTTAATGTCCTGGAAGCGGGAATTCCAAAAACTTTTAGCTGGGGGTATCCTAAAGGCCGACAAATCTGTTTAAGAACATTATTATTGCCTTTTTTTATCAAGAATACTTATACCATCTAACTTTAAATTTAAGTCATTAGTTATATTCAAATCAAAAGCATCAGCAGCCCGCAGCAAATGAAGAAGACCAGAAGGTATAGCATCAAAGACCACTGCATAATCCTTTGCAGAAATTGGAAGTTTACATTTATTTTAAAATTCTCCATATGAGAGTAAGAGAACATCAGGACGTATAGTGCTGGACGCAGGGTTTGAAATTTACTTTTTCACTCACCAGCCAATTTGGCTA